ACAAACTCCTTTTCCCTTCCCCTCCCCACAACAGACACCCTGTGAGGTAGGTAGGCCTGAGAGAGCTCTTTCCAGAACTGCCCTTGAGAGAACAGCTCTGAGAGAACTTGTGACTGACCCAAGGTCACATCAGCAGGTGCATGTGGAGGAAGAGAAGAAGAGATTGGATTTATACCTCGCCCTTCGCTCAGAGTCTCAGTGCGGCTTACGAACGCCTTTCCCTCCCCCTCCCCACAACAGAGTGTGATTTCCCAGGAAGGAGGGAGCAGGGACTGGATGGGAGAGGAGGAGGAGGAGGAGGAGAAGAGATTGGATTTATACCCTGCCCTCCGCTCAGAGTCTCAGAGTGGCTTACAAACTCCTTTTCCCTCCCCCTCCCCACAACAGACACCCGGTGAGGCAGGTGGGGCTGAGAGAGCTCTTTCGAGGACTGCCCTTGAGAGAACAGCTCTGTCAGAACTACGGCTTGCCCAAGGTCATCCAGCAGCTGCAAGCGGAGGCGTGGGGAATCCAACCCGGTTCTCCCCGGTTAGAGTCCGCGCGCTTCACCATGACACCAAACTGGCCCCTGCAAACGCCCAGGCTCACTCACAGTGGGGGATGCTGGCTCCCGTCCTCCCGTCCTGCACCCCGGCCAGGTTTCTGGCGGCGGCCCTTCTTGGGGGAGCCCCGGGCCGCCCCCTCGGCTCCTCCAGCCCCTTCTTCTGAGCTTTCATTCTGCTGATCTTCTCGCTGTACATCTTAGCCAAGGCATGGACTTTGTTGATGATCCGTTCCGAGTTCTCCAAGAGACACGGGTCCCCGTTCTCGTAGATGTCCAGCGACGGGAGGTAGCCGGAAGATCCATCAGCCACCGCGGTCACCGGCCTCCTCTCGGCCGCTCCGCCGTGCGTTCCGTGTTCCGGATTTCTGCTTGGAACTGATGGGGGGTCCTCCAGGTCGGAATCCTCCACAATGCGCAAAGCTTCTACGTACACCGGAGTCTCTTGGGGGCAATACAATTCTCTGCTGCCTGTTTTGGCACCTTTCTTCGGGGTGTCGAGGATGCTGCGTTCTTTTTCCTGCCAGGCTTTCCGGATCTCTGCGCAGGACTTGAACTCGGGCTCCACCTCCTCCTCTAAGCCACTCCCACTTTTGGACCTGTGACGGTTCCTTTCTTGGCCCGCATCGTTAGGGGTGTCATTCGATCGGATGCCCGTAGATGAGTTCTGCCCCTCCTCGGAATTCTTACCGCCGCTATGCAGCAACGGGGATTCTCTGCTATGGGAAAGCTCCATCCCGTCTGGTGATTGGGCGCCATCAGACTGGCTCCGCCCTCTTTTGGAATGTTCCAGATTCGGGGCCAGCTGGCTCTGCCCTTCCTCGGAATCCTCGTGGCAGGAAGGCATTTGTGTGCTACATGATTGGCTCCTGCTCCTGACGGAATGATCATGATTGGAGGCGCTGGGGGGTGGGCGGGGCTTCCGGGATTTGGCCCTGCCCACTCTGCCATCCTGGGCATCATTTTGGCTTAAGATGCTGTTGAATCGAAGGACGGACTCCCGCACCACGCCGGTGGGCACAGCAGGGGTGCACTCTTTCTTGCCCGGTCCGGGCGCCTTCGTCAGTGCCTCTGCTCCCTCGTAATAACTCTTGATCTTCTCGATCAGCAGCCAGTCGTCTTTGCTTAGTGTAGACTCTCGCTTGGCCCCTTTCTCCTCTTTGTCCAAGCCAACCGATGAGCTCTGGGGGCACGGGGTCGGCCGGTTGGCTCCGTCTCCACCCCCCTGTGGCGGGTGCTCCCCGTCCATTGCCTCCTGCTCGGAGAAGACAGCGCCGTCGGCATCTTCCGGCTTGCTGCAGACTTCTTCTGAGGCCAGCTCCTCCAAGACGTGAAGGGGAGACGGGCCGTTCTCCTCATCCCGCTGCTGCTCCTCCTCTCCTTCAGAGGAGTCGCTGGCGAAGGAGTGGCCGAGCACCGGAGGGGCCCGTTCCTGGAGGGAGTCGCTTTGGGACGGGGCGCCGAGGGGCTCGAAGGGCACACCTTCCTGGGCGTCCGGCTCCTTCTCCTCCTCCTCCTCCAGTTCTTCCAGGGCATCGTTCTGGAGGGGTTGATCCTACGCAAAGGCAAAGACACAGAGGCTTGCTTCAGACATCACACGAAAGCATGCTTTGTTTTAACCCAGGCCCGTAGCTACCGCGGGGCCCACGGCCCACCATTTTTATGGGCCCCTCCCCTGAGCCTCGGCTCCCCCTCCTTCCCCCGTCCCCCCTCGCCTCCAATCATTTAACACGCAGAAGAGCAGAGGGCGGCTAGGCATCGGCAGACTCCCTCCCTGGGAAACCAGCAGGGCTTCACCTGGGCCGGCCTGGGCTTAGGGTTGGTCCCCTGAGTTGGAGCAGGCGGGAGGGGAGCCTTTGGGAATACTCTGCATCTGACGGACTGTGGGCGTCTTCCTTGGGAGCCGGCCTCACGGAACTCGGCGGAGGATCGACTGACTCCCGAGTAAACGGTGCCGGCTCAGGGTGCAGACACCCAAAGGGGGAACAATCGGGATCTAAACTGAATCGCCATTAAAAAGGGGGGGGCCTTCGGATTCGAGGAGAGAGGGCGGCGCGAGCTCCCTTCTTTGCCAGGAACCAGCCCTTTAAAGGCTTGGTCTCATGACCTGGGAAGGAGTCCAGCCCGCAGGGCTGCGGGGATAGGGAGGCGGCCAGTTTGCGAGCCGCTCAGCCAGCCCCTCCGCGGCCCTTCGCTCACCCCCTCCTGCAGCCACTGTCCGGAGAGGTCTGCCCGCCGCCCAGGGGTCATGTCATGGAAAAAGAGGTGCAGGAGCTCATTAGCACAACTCATTAACATAACTCATTTGCATATGCCACACCCCCTGACGTCACCGGACGTGTGTCAGAAGGCAACACCCACCGCTCAGGCGCCACTGGACTGTTCTGGATTGCTAGCTATTTGGGGGGGGGAGGAATGTGCAGATCTGTCCTCGCAGAGGAGGGAGAGCTTGTACCTGAATAAAACTTGGTCTTAAAGGTGCCACTGGACTGTTTTGGGCCCGGGGGGGGGCGGCTCTGCAACTTACCTGGCTGCTTCTTGCTCTGACTGAGGGCTGCTGGGAGCAGGGGGTGGGGATTGCTGCATGTGCCCGCCCCCTGGGCTCTTTACTGCCGGAGCTCCACTCCCGTGCGCTCCTGCAGGAAATGACGCCTGCCGCCGCCCCTCCCTTCTGTTCCCTAGCTCTCCTCAGCCCCCCCATGTGTAGCTCTCCCCACAGACCCGGGCACGCTGGGATGGCCAGCCGTCTCCCCCCCGGGATCATGCCAGAAGCAGCATGAGAGGAGGAGGGGGAAAGGGGAGGGGACGCGGGTAGTGGGTATGAGCACGGCATGGCAGTACCGCACCGACATAGAATAGCAGGCAGGCCCCCCGAGAAAAACATTCCCCTCCCTCCCTGAGCAAGAAGTTGTTAGCTTTGGGGCTGTTTTAACTATGGTCTGTTTGCAAACCCCGGATTTGGCCCGCAGATGATGGTTTGCCTCAACAAAAGCTGGAGCCATCGCCTTTGCTGGTTCCCCCGGCCTCCTTCGCAAAGATCCTGCTGGCTTCCTGGCCAGCAACACAGAGGAGGCTGGATTACAGAATAGTACTAATAATAAGGGCTGCGGTGGGTCAAGTGGTTAAGAGGAGGCTGAACTGCAGACCAGAAGGTCGGTAGTTCGGCAGTTTGAGACCCGAGTGCCGAGTGAGCTCCCGTCTCCGGCCCCAGCTCCTGCCAACCGAGCAGTTCGAAAGTAAGAAATTGCAAGTAGATAAATAGGTACCGCTTTGGTGGGAAGGTAACAGCGTTCCGTGAGCCTAGGTGTTTAGTCATGCTGGTCACATGACCACGGAAACGTCTTCGGACAGCGCTGGCTCTTTGGATTGGAAATGGAGACGAGCACCGCATCCCTAGAGTCGGATTCGACTGGCTTTCGAGCAAGGGAAACCTTTACCTTTTACCTTTACTAATAATAAACCAGGATGCCGCGACTCAGATAAAACCACAGTCAACGCCAATGTTCCCTCTAAGCTGTGGAGTCTTGTGAGCAAAAATTCTACTTTCTGAGCTACTGGCATTAAAGTTGTGAGTGAACGATTTGGCAAATGCAGAAATTAGTTTGCTCTGGAGCCCTCCTTCCTGAGCGAAGACAAAAATGTGCGAGCCGGAGGCTAAAAAACTGTGAGCTAGCTCAGACTAACTCTGCTTAGAGGGAACACTGGTCAACGCTAAACATGGTTAATGAACCAACCCAGAATTTCAGGTCCTACTGGGGGCTTTCCTAGCTAACCGTGGTCAGTGGAAGTGCCCACATCCGGATGGTCCCAGCGACCAGAGTCAGGGGATATAAACGATGGTTTGAAGTGATGCCGAAGAGTTGCTGGCACTCCACACCCGGGTGATATTTTGGATCCAGTTTTGTTTTTCTTTTCCCCAAAGATCCCGTTTCCTTTTTAGCAAGAGTCAAAGAGATCTTTGCAACCGAATGCAACCGAATACAACCAAATGCAACCGAAACGATGTAGAAAGCTACCAGCGGGTGTTCAGGCCACGCTCCGTGTAAGCTGTTTCTGTATTTTATTGGGTTCTGGGCTTTTCCTACCCGTCCCCCCACCGCAAGCATAGTTATTCATAACCCTCCTCTCCAGTCTTCAGCCTCACCTTTTCTATAAAGAAACAGATATCAAATAAAAGTGCCCCTGAGCGTGCACAGAATTCCTGTCCGCTAAGCCACCACAGCCAGTTCCTGCACACCTAGGGACCCAAATCATATCTGACCCTAAGTTGGGGAGTAGGTGCCTAGCTGCCGGCGACGGGAGAAGCGACTGCTCCGTTCCTTTAGAGACTGCGGGACTCATTGCCCCATGAGCTTTGGAGAACAGCTGGCGTAAATGGCTTTAGGAAAACAGCTGGATAGATTCGCAGCCAGAGGTGGCTGGTAGCCCAAAGTGGCCATTAGGGGGTAGCGAAATTATCTAGGGCTCGTCCCTTGGTTCAAGTATATTGAGGATAGACAATTAAGAACATAAGAACATCAGAAGAGCCCTGTTGGATCAGACCAGTGAGGGTCCCTCTAGCCCAGCATCCCGTCTCACACAGTGGCCAACCTGTTCCTCTGTACAGCCAACAACAGGGCAGAGAGGCCGAGGCCTTCCCCTGATAAGAACATCAGAAGAGCCCTGCTGGATCAGACCAGTGGCCCATTTAGTCCAGCATCCCATCTCACACGGTGGCCAACCATTTCCTCTGGAAAGCCAACAATAGGGCAGAGAGGCCGAGGCTTTCCCCCAATGTTGCCTCCTCCTGGCACTGGGATTCAGAGGTTTAGTGCCTCTGAATGTGGAGGTTCGTCTCAGTCACCACCATGGCTAGTAGCCATTGATAGACTTATCCTCCATGAATCTCTCAAATCCCCTTCCAAAGCTGTTTATTCCTGTGGCCATCACTACACCGTCTGGCAGCGAATGCCACATTTGAAACCTTTGTTGGGTGAACAAATATGCCTTTTGTTTAGCAGCACAAGAAGGCGAAGAGTTGGTTTCTATGCCCTGCTTTTCACTACCCGAAGGAGTCTCAGAGCGGCTTACAGTCGCCTTCCCTTCCCCTCCCCACAACAGACACCCCGTGAGGCAGACTGGGGCTGAGAGAGCTCTGAGAACTGCTCTTGGGAGAACAGCTCTGGGAGAACTTGTGACTGACCCAAGGTCACCCAGCTGGCTTCATGTGGAGGAGTGGGGAATCAAACCCGGTTCTCCAGATTAGAGTCCACCGCTCTTAACCACTACACCAAACTGGTGCACAAATCTTAGCAGTGGTACAGGACAGGGTTGCCGGCCTCCAGGTACGGCCCGGAGTTCTCCCAGGACCTGTAACCTGTCTCCAGACGACCTGCTCCCAAAGCTTGGAAGGAAAATCCGGAGGCTCCACCTCCTTGGTTACCTGTGCACCCGCGCTGGACACCTCCAGGTTCGCCGGTCCCAGAAGAGTCCCCGATTCCTTGTCCAGGCCCCGCTGGCTTAGCAGCTCCAGGATCTCCTCTGTGATGGACAGGTTGGCAGGGACGGGCTCTTCGGGGAGAGAGAACTCCCCCTCTCCTTCCTCCGGGTCCGAATCCCCCGGCTCAGCCTCCATCACGCTGGATGCCAGAGTGCAGGGACTCCCGGAGGGGCGGCCGGGCTCGGCGGCCGGGAAGAGCTCTCCGTCGCTGTCGGCGTGCTGCACAGAGAGAACGTGGCATCACAAACGAGTATCAGGTGGGCCTTGTGAGGCCAACGGTTCTAACACGAGACTTGACGGAAGGGATCCCCCCAAGGGCTTGCCATCCTCCAGGCGGTGGCTGGAGAACTCCGGGTGACGGAGATCAGTTTACCCGGAGAAAATGGCTGCCTTGAAAGGTGGGCTCTGTGGGCGCTGCATCCCCTTGAAGACCCTCCCCGCCCCAAACCCCACCCTCCTCAGGCTCCGCCCCCAGGATCTCCACGTCTTTCCCAACCCAGAGCTGGCAACTCTAATCCCCAACGGGGTGCCCGTGGGCGCCACGGAACCCTCCGGCAGTTTCCCCGGAGCCCATGTGGGTCCTTTGCCTAGCAAGGCTTCTGATTGGCTACTGGGGATTTGATTGGCCGTTCGGATCTATTAAAAAGTTGCTTTGGCAGCAGCTGGCAGCACAACACAAGCATCTCTGGTGGCCATTTTGTGGCCGGCCCCACCTCCTGCAACGGCCATTTTGTGGCAGCCGTTTTGTGGCCACGCCCACCGTGTTGTGTCAGAATTCCAAAGGTGCCCACAGGGTCAAAACGTTTGGGGACCCGTGCTTTACAGATTTAAAAGAAGCAAACTGGGCACCATTACGCCCAGTATCTTTCCCTTTGTTTAGGGTTGCCAAATCTAAATCACTCACCGGCGGGGGGGAGCGTCTTCTCGCTCCGGGAGCTGGCTGGGGATGTGTGCGCGCGCGCACACGCGCCATTGGAATGTCACCGGAAGTGACACACGACGTAGCACGTTGGGGGCGTGGCCAAGATCGTCGGGGGGGAACCATATGGTTTCCCCCCCCGACGATCTGGGCCCCCCCCCCCACACCCCCCCAACGTGTCGTACGTCGTGCGTCACCTCTGGTGACGCAGCTTTGGGGGGCGGGGTTCCCCCTGGGGCCCAATTTTGCCCCCCGGCCCCATTTGGCAACCCTACCTTTGTTGCTTTACGGGACAACATCCAGGCCCAGGCATTAGAACATTTGGACCGTACCTTTCCAGAACTTCAAACAGAATCCACAATCGATTTTTGCTCTCTTGGTAAAGGAATGACGACCTTGGTGTTCCCTCTAAGCTGAGTTAGTGTGAGTTAGCTCACAGTTTTTTAGCCTCCGGCTCACATTTCTGTCTTAGCTCACGAAGGGCAGCTCCGGAGCAAATGAGTTTACGCAGCAGCCAAATCGCTCGCTCACAACTTTAATGCCAGCAGCTCACAAAGTAGGATTTTTGCTCACAAGACTCCACAGCTTAGAGGGAGCGTTACCTTGGACAGTCGAACAGTGGCAGCTGCTAATTTTTGTCCACCTCGAACCATCCAAACCCCCCAGAAATTCCCAAAGCGTTCATGGCGTCAACTCTAGAAGCAAAACCTCTCTTGGGCTCTGCTGGAATTTAATTGCCAGGATTTTGACGGTGCGACGGCAGGTAAGCTGTGGCAGCCATTTTTTAGGCTTGCCATTTCCCGGGGGGTGGGTGGGTTGCCTGCTTTAGGGACCCCAATCCGCCGGTCCAGATCCGGACGGTGGGGGGAACCCCTCCCAAAAAGTGCCGGGATCGCTCCCAGCACGTCGCCGGGGGGATGCTCTAGCACTCAGCCTAAAAACTCTATGGTACCATAGAGTTTCTGGCCGAATGCTAGAGCGTAACCCTGGCGACGTGCCCAGAGCGATGACGTCACTTCCGGGTGATGTCATTGTGGCATGTGCTCCCGAAGATCTCGATGAAGAGGCTCCGTCCCCCTGCCAAACGCAGGTAGGGACCTGGCAACCTACGCAGCAGCCATTTTGTGGTTGCGCCCACCATGCTCTGTCAGAAATTCACAGGCGTGTGCGGGCTCCAAAACGTTGGGGACCCCTCGTCCACTCTCACGCCCGGGGGGTCGTCTCCCAAGAGGGCCCCTTGAGGAAAACAGCTTCTTAGCCAAACCTCATCCACGCCTAGTAAACCCTTAATCTGGATTCTTCCACATTCCGCCTTGGAAACGTTTTAAGACGTTGCCATTAGAGACCTGCATCGAGGCATTAAGATTTAATGGTTTTTCTTGATGCCTTTAGTGAAATCCGAGAAGTATCTCTCAAGCTACTGAAACTACAATGGCTTTTTAAAAATAAATTCCTGGTCTGTTACAATATTCCCTCTAAACTATGGAGTCTTGTGAGCAAAAATTCTACTTGGTGAGCTACTGGCATTAAAGTTGTGAGTGAGCGTTTCGGCTGCCGCATCAATTAGTTTGCTCTGGAGCCCTCCTTCCTGAGCGGAGACAAAAATGTGTGAGCCGGAGACTAAAAAACTGTGAGCTAGCTCACACTAACCCAGCTTAGTGGGAACACTGGTCTGTTATATGCATATCTTATCTATTTGCTTTGCTTTTATAAATAAAGGTAAAGGTTCCCTTGCTCGAAAGCCAGTCGACTCCGACTCTAGGGTTGCGGTGCTCATCTCCGTTTCAAAGCCGAAGAGCCAGCGCTGTCCGAAGACGTTTCCGTGGTCATGTGGCGGCATGACTAAACACCAAGGCGCACGGAACACTTTTACCTTCCCCCCAAAGTGGTACCTATTTATCTACTTGCAATTTCTTGCTTTCGAACTGCTAGGTTGGCAGGAGCTGGAACTAGAGACGGGAGCTCGCTCCGTCATGCGGCACTACTCGGGTCTTGAACTGCTGAACGACCGACCTGCCACAGCCTGCAGTTCAGCGTCTTAACCACTTGAGCCTCCGCGGTGTTTATAATCCCTAGTAAAATTGTATGTTTCTCGCTGGCTCATTCCATTTGGGACGCTGCGGGGAAGAGAGTCAGTGAGGGGACGGGGACGTCTTGCTGTGGGAAATACATCTGCCACCCCCATCAATAGGGCAAGTCCACAGACGGTAACCTACCTTTAACTCAGTCATGTCTGAGAACATCCCGAGCAGGGAGGAGAGGAGAAGAAAAGAAGAAAAGTTACAATCAACGATTGAGAGAAAGCAGCCAGATTTAATTTTTTAAAAAGAAAACTAACAGCATTAGCCACAGAAATAAGAACGTCTGAAGAGCCCTGCTGGATCAGACCAGTGAGGGTCCATCTAGCCCAGCATCTCGTCTCACAGAGTGGCCAACCAGGTCCCATGGAGGGCCAGCAACAGGGCAGAGAGACCAAAGCCTTCTTCTGCTAAGAACAACAGACGAGCCCTGCTGGATCAGACCAGTGAGGGTCCATCTAGCCCAGCATCTCGTCTCACAGAGTGGCCAACCAGGTCCCATGGAGGGCCAGCAACAGGGCAGAGAGACCAAAGCCTTCTTCTGCTAAGAACAACAGACGAGCCCTGCTGGATCAGACCAGTGGTCCATCTAGCCTAGCATCCCATCCCACATAGTGGCTAACCAGGTCCCATGGAGGGCCAGCAACAGGGCAGAGAAGAAGAAGAAGAAGAAGAAGAAGAAGAAGAAGAAGAAGAAGAAGAAGAAGAAGAAGAAGAAGCAGAAGAAGAAGAAGAAGAAGAAGAAGAAGAAGCAGAAGCAGAAGAAGAAGAAGAAGAAGAAGAAGAAGAACAAGAAGAAGAGATTGGATTTATACCCCGCCCTTCACTTGGAGTCTCAGAGCGGCTTACAAACTCCTTTCCCTCCCCCTCCCCACAACAGACACCCTGTGAGGTGGGTGGGGCTGAGAGAACTCTGACACAAACTGCTCTTTTTCAAGGACAGCTGTGCCAGAGCTTGTGACTGACCCAAGGTCACATCAGCAGGTGCAAGTGGAAGAGTGGGGACTCAAACCCGGTTCTCCCAGATTAGAGTCCACACACTTAACCACTACACCAAACAGAGATACCAAGGCCTTCTCCTGCTAAGAACAACAGAAGAGCCCTGCTGGATCAGACCAGCGGTCCATCTAGCCCATCATCCCGTCTCACAGAATGGCCAACCAGTTCCCGTGGAGGGCCAGCAACAGGGCAGAGAGACCAAGGCCTTCTCCTGCTAAGAACAACAGAAGAGCCCTGCTGGATGAGACCAGTGGTTACTGTAGTCCAGCATCCCGTCTCACAGAGTGGCCAACCAGTTCCTCTGGAGAGCCAACAACAGGGCAGAGAAACTGAGGCCTTCCCCTGTTGACAACATCAGAAGAACCCTGCTGGATGAAAACCAATGGTCCCTCTAGTCCAGCATCCTGTCTCCCACAGGGGCCAGCCAGTTCCTCTGGAGGGCCAACAACCGGGCAGAGAGGCCGAGGCCTTCCCCTGAAGTTGCCTCCTGGCTTGGGATTCAGAGGATTAGTGCCTCTGAATGTGGAGGTTCCCCTCAGTCACCATGGCTAGTAGCCCCTGATGGATGTATCCTCCATGAATCTATCTAACCCCCCTTTTCAAGCTGTCTATTCCTGTGGCCATCACTATATCTTCTGGCCGCGAACCCCACATTTTAATCACCCTCTGCGTAATAAATAAACGATTTCCTCTCGTCCATTCTGGACCCACCCCTCATCAACTTCACGGGGTCCCCTCGTGTGCTAGTCTTTTGGGAGAGGGAGGAAAGTTGTCTCTCTGTCAACTCTCTCCACCCCGTGCATAATTTTATAAACCTCTCCCAGGTCCCCCCCCCCTTAGCCGTGCTAGTCTTTTGGGAGAGGGAGGAAAGTTGTCTCTCTGTCAACTCTCTCCACCCCGTGCATAATTTTATAAACCTCTCCCAGGCCCCCCCCCCTCCTTAGCCGTCTCTTTTCTCCACTGACAAGTCCCAGACCCTTCCGCCTTTCCTCCGAGGGAAGGGGCTCCAGAACAGTAGCAACGGCGTCCCGTTCTCTTGGCAGATCGCCTCGATGGAGAGTTTGGCAGCCGCGTTAATGGGCACTTCAGAACCCTCCTTAAAAACAGCTCCATTAAGACCAGGTTACGAGCCCCGTTTCCTCTCAACTGTCTCTGGCCAGGACTCCCAGAGCGACCCGAGATCCCTTTGGTGGAAGTGCCGGGCGGGCCGAGCTGGGGGTGTTGTGCAGCACAAGGCACCCGTGAGCTCTCCAGGAAAACTCCGCTGGGCACCGTCTTTTGCGACGGGCGGTGGCTCGCCAGGATAGCCAAACAAAATTCCTTTGTTTGGAATTGCCTGAGCTGATGTTCCATAGTGCGGAACGAGACGCACACTCGCACACGAAGCTCCCTTATACTTAAGCAAACCATCGATCCATCAAGGTCAGTATTGTCTACTCAGGCCGGCAGCCGCTCTCCAGGGCCCCGGGCTGTAGTCTTTCCCATCACCTCCCATCTGATACTTTTAACTGGAGGCCCCGGGGATTGAACCGGGGAACTCCTGCATGCCAAGCAGAGGCTCTGGCCACGGACACAGGGCCCCTCTTCGTGGCTCTCCAGGGCCTCAGGCGGAGAAGTCTCTCACAACCCCTACTGCCTGGCTCTTCCAATTGGAGATGTTGGGGATTGAACCTGGGACCTTCTGCATGCCAGGCAGAGGCTCTTCCACTGAGCCACAGCCCCTCTTTACAGCTCTCCAGGGTCTCAGGCGGAGGTCTTTCATAAGAACATAAGAGACGCCAATGTTGGATCAGGCCAAAGGCCCATCCAGTCCAACACTCTGTCACACAATGGCCAAAAATACCAGGTGCCATCAGGAGGTCCAGCAGTGGGGCCAGGACACCAGAAGCCCTCCCACTGTTGACCCCCCCGCAAGCACCAAGAAGACAGAGCATCCGTTGCCCCAGAGCCCCTACCTATACCTTGTGGCTAATAGCCACTGATGGACCTCTGCTCCATATGCTTATTCAATTCCCTTTTGAATTGATTTCCCATCACCTCCTGCCCGGCCCTTTTAGCTGGAGATGCCGGGGATTGAACCCGGGACCTTCTGCATGACAGGCAGAGGCTCTACCCCTGAGCCACAGTCCCTCTTGACAGCTCTCCAGGGTCTCAGGCGGAGGTCTTTCCCATCACCTCCTGCCTGGCCCTTTTGAACTGGAGATGCTGGGGACTGAACCTGGGACCTTCTGCATGCCAGGCACAGGCTCTGGCCACTGAGCCACAGTCCCTCGCCAAATGCGAACATGCATGAAGCTGCCTTCTACTGAACCAGACCCTCGGTCCACCAAGGTCAGTATTGTCTACTCAGACTGGCAGCTGCTCTCCAGGGTCTTCAGACAGAGCTTTTTCACATCACCTCCTACTTGATCCATCTGGTCCTCTTTAACTGGGAATGCCGGGGATTGAACCTGGGACCTTCTGCATGCCAAGCAGAGGCTCTGCCACTGAGCCCTGGTTCCTCCTTCCTACTGAGAGGCTCACGGTGCCTTAAAGGGCTAACAGACTGATTGTGGCAGAAGCTTTTTTGATCCGGAAGTCCCGCCTTCTCCTTCAAGACCCATCAGCCCGCTGAGGGTATTATACCTCTTGCCTTAGAGAATACGTACATCAGTCTTTGTCTGCCACAATCAATCTGTTAGTCATTAAGGAGCTCTCTGGCTCTCTGTCTTGGATGGGATCCGAAGTCTTGATTTGGAAGACATTAAAAGCAGAAAGTAAGACTGGCTGGTTTGGTGGCCCTGAACAAGACACTTCCTTGCCAAATGGGGATGGAGGATGGTTTGCCAGAGAACTGGAAGACGGCCCACTAGAAGATTCCCTTTCCCTGGCCTTCTTTTATCTACTTCTGGCCAAACAATACCTGATCCCGCAAAACTTTTCATGGGAGTGGGAAACATTTCATAGAAATGGGAATTGCTCCGTAACAACCATCAGTTTAGAACAATGGATTCCCCCAGGACCAAACAGTGACAAAGGATTCTTATCTCACTATAGATGCTAGTTTTCTGCCCACCAGCTTTTCCCCTCTTCCAACTGGAGATGTTGGGGATTGAACCTGGGGCTTTCTGCATGCCAAGCAGAGGCTCTTCCACTGAGCCACAGACCCTCTTTACAGCTCTCCAGGGTCTCAGGCTGAGGTCTTTCACTTCACCTCCTGTGTGGCCCTTTTTAACTGGAGATGCTGGGGACTGAACCCGGGACCTTTAAATCAAGCTCCTTTCCTATTGTACCTTTGCATCCTGGTAACTCCCCTCCCACCTTCTGACCGAGATATAAGGACTTAGGGATCTCCAGCTTGTATCTGACGAAGCGAGCTTGGGCTCCCGAAAACTTACGCCCCCCCAAATTTTTTTTGTGGATCTCTAAGGCGTTACGGGACTTGAATCCAGCTCTTCTACTGCACGGCTACCCTCAAACTATTCTGACGCCTTTCAGGGATTCTTCAACGAGGTCTTGAGGCTGACTCTGGGTCAGATTAAGCCTTTCCGTCTCCTTAATGAACAACAGAGAGCCAGTTTGGTGTGGTGGTTAAGAGCGCAGATTCTAATCTGGGAGAGCTGGGTTTGATTTCCCCACTCCTCCACGTACAGCTGCTAGTGCGACCTTGGGTCAGTCACAAGTCCTCTCTGAGCTGTTCTCTCAAGAGCAGTTTCTCTCAGAGCTCTCTCAGCCCCACTGACCTCACAGGGTGCCTGTTGTGGGAAGGGGAAGGGGAAGGAGATTGTAAATTGCTCTGAGACTCCTTTGGGTAATAAAGGGCAGGGTATACAGGGCCGGCTCACTCACTAGGCAAACTAGGCTCTCGCCTAGAGCGCGCCGGCCCTTAGGGGCGCCAAACTGGCACACACACACCCTGTTCTGGTTCAGCTGCAAACACTACTGAGTTTTAAACATGTTATGATCTTTCTGATGATACAAACACCAATTCCACCAAAGAACTTAGCCCTCTGGGCACAGAAGGGTCACTCAGCTGAGTCAAAGAAGAATCTAAGTAGGGGGGCTATTACACAAGGACACTCAAGTTGCAACTGACTTATGGCAACCCCAGCAAGGAACTGTCAAGGCAAGTGAGAAGCAGAGGTTGTTTGCGACTTTGCAGAGTCTTCCTTGGTGGAAGCCAGATGTGCAAAGCAGGCAAAGTTACAGAAGCAAAAGTGAGTGTTAAGAGCATGGGTGCCAGGGGAACGGGAGGTCCGGGGTACAGATCCAATTAATGGGTCCGAGCCATGGTGGGCGCACGGGGGGGGGGGACCGCCAGAAGGGATCCTCGCCTAGGCTGCAAAATAAGCTGGGGCCGGCCCTCCAATAACTTCTAGCACATTTCGCCCTCTGCGCACCTCACATTCACTCTTTTAGAAGTCGGTTTCAGACGCGAGTCGTGTCGGTCTTCCGTAGAAGAATGGGATCTGCATCCAACGGCACCTTCGAGGCCAACCAGCTTTTTGCGGGGTAGAAGCTTTCAAGCCTCAAAGGTCCCTTCCTCAGATAACTTTATCAGAAAGCTTCGGCTTTCTGACCTGAGAATATTGTTGGTCTCTAGGATGCTGCCGGACTGGAACCTAAACTTCCAATTCTCTCTTTTTTAATAATTAAAGAAAAAACCCCTGTCTCCTAGACCCAGTTCCCTCTTTCCGGGAAAAGACTTTGTGAAATTTTGAATTTGAATTTTGAATTTGAAAGTTATTTCGAATGTCAATACTGTTCAGTATTTTGAATTTGAACGTTATTTCGAATGTCAGTACTGGGGGGATGGAAAGGGTCTGTGATCCTCAGAAATATCTCGGCGACACTTGGGATTGTGAGGAAAGGGCGGGAGGCGTCAGGCGCTGCTTCACGACGACACTGCAAGGTAGGGCCTTCAGTCTTCTTCTTCGACAGGTGGGGGAGGGGACTGAGGCCGAGGAGGTCCGAACCCAAATCCCAAATGGGCACAGCGTTAAGGGAAGGAAGAACTTACTCGCTCGATGAAACGATCCTCCGGACTCCTTCGCTGGTTCTGGGGAGGGAGAAGAACAGAGAGAGAGAGAGAGAAATGTCAATTGAGAGGCGGGGGGGAGATGGAGGATAAGGTAGAGTCACTTTAGGACCAAGCGGGCTCTTGCTGAGTCGCAACGAGTATTGTTGAGCAGGCGGGGAATACATTTAGATTACTGGCCTTGGTCTGGAGTATGGCGGAGGGGCTGGGAGTGTTGGAACAGGATCCGGGAGAACCAGGCTCGAATCCCCCACTCGTGCCGTGGAAGTTCGCCGGATGACCTCGGGCCAGTGGCACACTCGTAGCCTAACCTCCCTCACAGGGTTGTTGTGGTGAGGATTAAATGGAGGAGAGGGGAATTAGGTAAGCTATCTTGGGTCCCCATTGGAGAGAAAGGTGGGGGTATAAATGAAGTCAAGAAAGAAAGAAAGAAAGAAAGAAAGAAAGAAAGAAAGAAAGAAAGAAAGAAAGAAAGAAAGAAAGAAAGAAAGAAAGAGAGGAGGAGGAAGAGGAGGAGGAGATTGGATTCATACCCCGCCCTTCACTTCCCAAAGGATTCTCAGAGCGGCTTACAAACTCCTTTCCCTTCCCTTCCCTTCCCCACAATAGACACCCTGTGAGCAATGCTCCCTCTAAGCTGTGGAGCCTTGTGAGCAAAAATTCTGCTTTGTGAGCTACTGGCATTAAAGTTGTGAGTGAGCAATTTGGCTATGGCATCAATTACTTTGCTCTGGAGCCATCCTTCCTGAGCCAATAAGAAAATGTATGAGCCAGAGGCTAAAAAACTGTGACCTGGCTCACACTAACTCAGCTTAGAGGGAACACTGCCTGTGAGGTAGGTGGGGCTGAGAGAGCTCTGACAGAAACTGCTCTTTTTCAAGAACAGCTCTGACAGAACTATGGAAGGAAGGAGGGATAGAGAGAAGAAAGAGAGAGAGAGAGAATGACAGAAAGAAAGAGAGAGATTCCTTTTTAAGAGAAAGGAAGGAAGGAAGGAGAGAGAAAGAGAGAGAAAGCGAAAGAGAAAGAAGATAGAAAGAGAAAGGCAGAGAGAGAGAGATCTCTTTTTAAGAAAGAGAGAGAAGATAAAAAGAGAGAGAGAGAGAGGCAGACAGAAAGAAAGAGAGAGAAGATAAAAAGAGAAAGAGAGAGAGAGAGGCAGACAGAAAGACAGAAAGATAGAAAGAGAGATCCAAGAGAGAGAGAGAGGCAGACAGAAAGACAGAAAGATAGAGAGATCCAAAAGAATGAAAGAGAAAGAGAGAAAGAAAAGAGAGAGAGAGAAAGAGAAAGAAGAGGAGGAGGAGGAGAAGGAACAGTTTGGATTTATACCCCATCCTTCACTCGGAGTCTCAGAGTGGCTGACAAACTCCCTTCCCTTCCCCTCCCCACAACAGACACCCCGTGAGGGAGGTGGGGCTGAGAGAGCTCTGACAGAAACTGCTCTTTTTCAGGGACAGCTCTGACGGAACTACGGCCTGCCCAGGGTCATCCAACCAGCTGCAAGTGGAGAAGTGGGGAATCAAACTCGGTTCTCTCAGATTAGGGTCCGTGCACTTCACCACCACACCAAACTGGTGCAGGCAGGCAGAGAGAGAGAGAGAGAGGAGAGAGAGAGAGAGATATCCCTTTTAAAGAGGAAGGAAAGAAGAAAGGAAGGAGAGAGAAAGCGAAAGAGAAAGAAGACAGAGAGAAAGAGAAAGGTAGAGAGAGAAAGATCCCTTTTTAAGAAAGAAACAGAGAGAGAGAAGATAAAAAGAGAAAGAAAGAGAGAGAGGCAGGCAGAAAGAAAGAAAGATAGAGAGAAGGAAAGAAAGGAAAGAAAACTCATTTCCCAGCTTGCGTCCAGGGAGACCAATGATTTCCTGATGGCACACTGCCCTCTAGTGGCACTCTGCAGAGCAACTAGCACCATCCGGAAATTCCCAAGGATTTCAGTCACGAGCCGTCACCGTCTGGTAATGCCCTGGGCCCATACTTGCCGCCACACCCTTCCCCACATGCCCTTCCAGCACACCCTCACCCGATTGCCTGCGCCCACGGCGATAGGATCCACTCTTCTCCAGCAGAAGGATGGGGCAGCTACGCCGAGCTCTCTCGGGACTATACATGTATTCGGGCGGCTCTGGAAGAAGAAAGGGAGAGCGCCGTTGTGCCTAGAAGGTCATGCTCACGGCACCGCTGAGCCATCGCTTTTGCTCTGGCTTGATGGCGACACTTGGGCAGGCCAACTTGGCCACTAAGAGGAAGCCCGGACTTATCTATCTAGCATCGGCCTAGTCTCCTGGGGCGAACAGCGGGTTCCATCAGGCGAGCAGGGAGATTCTCTGTGCTTCCATAATTTCCTCTTTCCCCCAGTTTACACACAGTCTGATTTAAATGTGATGCTGGTGAGGCCCCACATTCAAATCTGCACTGTTCTCGTGTAAACCGTGCTGCAAGCAGCTTTACATGGAATCACAGAGTTGGAAGGGACCTCCAGGGTCATCTAGTCCTACCCCCTGCACAATGCAGGAATTTCACAACTACCTCTCCCACACACACACACCCCCAGTGACTGCTGTTCCACGCCCAGAAGATGGTAAAAATCCTCCAGGATCCCTGGCCAAACCGGTCTGGAGGAAAATGGCTGCCTGACCCCAAAGTGGCAACCGGCATTTCCCTGGGCGTGTAAGAAAGGGCCACGAGAACTAAGCACTGAGGCAACCCTTCCTGCCCTCCCTCTCGTGATCTGCCGAAGTTCACACAATCAGCATTGCTGTCAGATGGCCATCTAGCCTCTGCTTGGAAACCTCCGAAGAAGGAGAGCCTACCACCACCTCCCGAGGAAGCCTGTTCCACTGAGGAACCGTTCTAATGGTCAGGAAGTCCTTCCTAATATTTAGCCGAAAACTCTTCGGATTTAATTTCGACTTGTTGGTTCTGGTCCGACCTTCTGGGGCAAAAGAAAACAACTCCGCACCATCTACTAGATGACAGCCCTTCAAGGACTTGAAGATGGTGATCCTATCACCTCTTTGTTATCATATCCTTCGTTAGCGATCCGATATCACACAACATCTGTGGCTCTCTGGCGCGCAGACTCGGCATGCCTAGCTGGCTTCGCACAGACCGCAGCACAGTTTCAGGAACCCTAACCCGCTCAGTTCTGTCCCGTCCATTTTGAAAGCCATCGGTACCAGCGGTCACTAGCACGTCTTGTGGTCTAATGCTCCCTCTAAGCTGCGGAGCCTTGTGAGCAAAAATCCTACTCTGTGAGCTCCTGGCACTAAAGCTGTGAGCGCGCGATTTGGCTGCTGCATGAAATCAGTTTGCTCTGGAGCCCTCCTTCCTGAGCTGAGTCAAAAATATGTGAGCTGGAGGGTAAAAAACTGCGAGCTGGCTCGCACCGACTCAGCTTAGAGGGAGCACTGCTTGTGGCGGTGAGTTCCGCCGTCGGCCCGATGCTCTGAAGTCTTTTCAAAGCGCTTCTGGCGGCGGCGCCTCCTTACAGCTCGCCCCGCCTCTCTCACCTGACTGCCGCCTGCCGCGGGTGCAGCCCTTGGACTCGTCCGGCCGAGGGGAAGGCAGCGGCTTCCTCGGCGTGTCCGCGAAGATCTCTGGGGAATCTGCAGCGAAGGGGGGAACGGGATGGCCCGAAAGAACGCACAGAGCTCAGACTGAGTGCTGGAGAAGTACGCTGTGGGGCCGAGCCCCGATATCTCTGGAAAGAGAGGGGAAGGGGAGGGAAGACACTAAAACACTTCCTCTGGAAGCTGTTCTCCAGCAGGACTTGCTTTGCCTGTGTCGGAAAGAAAGAGAAGGCAGAGGGTCAGATCAGCCGCCTGGGAGCCGGTTCTAGGAGGGAACCCAGTTGCGTCTTCAACAAGACACAGGCCCGTAGCTACAGTAGGGCATCTTGGGGCTGCCCCCCCCCGACTTCCCACCCCGGCCTCCCGACTTCTCTCTCTCTCTCTCTCTCATCGCTTTTTAAAACCTTTTACTCTCTCGTCACTCCTGACACAGCCTGTGTGTGTGTGTGTGTGGGGGGGGTGCCCCCAACCAATGGTCCCTCTAAGCTGTGGAGTCTTGTGAGCAAAAACTCTACTCTGTGAGCTACCGGCATTAAAGTTGTGAGCGAGCGATTTGGCTACTGCATAAATTAGTCTGCTCCGGAGCCCTCCTTCCTGAGCGGAGACAAAAATGTGTGAGCTGGAGGCTAAAAAACTGTGAGCTGGCTCACCCTAACTCAGCTTAGAGGGAACACTGCCCCCAACTTATTTAAATGCCACCCAAAGTAAAAAAAACCCAACAACCTGGCTACCGGCCCTGCATGCACAGGAGTAACCCCCCAATTTTGGCACTCCTGCGAACATCTGGGGGCTCTGCGAGGGCTTCGCTCCGGCCACAGGATCCATCTACATGCATCGTCGGTGTCGTCCGTATTAAAAAATAAAGTGGTATCGGTGGTGCGTTCAGGTGTCGCGTCAGCACGGGTTTGGTGGTGGAAAGTGCCGTCGAGTCACGGCTCCCTTATGCTGGCCCCGTGGGGTTTCAGGGCAAGCGACGTTCGGAGGTGGGTTGGCCATCGCCTGCCTCTGCGTGGCGACCCCGGACTTCCTTGGTGGTCTCCCATCCAAGGACTAAACAAAGCCGACCCTGCTTAGCATCTGGGCTCTGACAAGAGTGAGGTACCCTGGGCCATCCAGGTGAAGGCAACAGACGTTCAGAGGTGGTTCGCCATGGCCTGCCTCTGCATAGCAACCCCGGACTTCCTTGGTGGTCTCCCATCCAAGGACTAAACAAAGCCGACCCTGCTTAGCATCTGAGCTCTGACAAGAGTGAGGTACCCTGGGCCATCCAGGTGAAGGCAACAGACGTTCAGAGGTGGTTGGCCATCGCCTGCCTCTGCGTAGCAACCCTGGCCTTCCTCGGTGGTCTCCCGTCCAAGTACCCACCAGGGCCGACCCTGCTTAGCTTCCCATATCTGATGAGGTCAGGTGAGCCTGGGCCATCCAGGTCAGGTCAAGAGACCTTTGCCATCGCCTGCCTGTCAGCTATGCTGCCATGGGGGTTGGGGAGTTCCTTTTGTGTCTTGTTAAGGGCTCTTGCATGCCTATCCCGGCTGTTCTGCCTTTGCTGAAACGCTGATCTCGACAGATGTGCAGGAGGAGGTTGTGTTGTCTGGAGAAGCTCCTATGTACCGTGAGAGACTCCGGGTTCCCAGCTTTAGCCACCTAACGGTTGCCTGGCTTATCCCGCGTGCGGGAGGGTGCCTAATTGGCCAATGCCATGGGGTGTGTGGGGGTGCATACAAATACCCTATACCCTATATCCTATTCTGCTGTACTGGCTGTGGCCATTCTTAACAGTGCCTGTGTTACTGCATCTATAGGTAAAGGTAAAGGTTTCCCTTGCTTGAAAGCCAGTCGAGTCCGACTCTAGGGTTGCGGCGCTCATCTCCATTTCCAAGCCGAAGAGCCAGCGCTGTCCGAAGACATTTCCGTGGTCACGTGGCCGGCATGACTAAACACCGAGGCGCACGGGACGCTGTTCCCTTCCCACCAAAGGGGTACCTATTTATCTGCATCTGTAGCTTTGCCATAAAAGTATAACCGTTTCTGAATGCGTGTGCTTCGTGGTGAGCTGTGGGTTCTGACACTGCCTCTGCGTAGCGACCACAAACTTCCAAGCTTCTGAGATCTGAGGAGTCCAAGCTGGCCTGGGCCCATCCAGGTCAAGGCGAGAGACATTCACAGGTTCGCCATCGCCTGCCTCCGCACAGCAACCGTGGACTTCCTCGGTGGTCTCCTACCCAAGTACTAACCAGGGCTGACCCTGCTTTGGTTCCGAGATCTGAGGACTCCGAGCTAGCTTCGGCCGTCCAGGTCAAGGCAGCCCTAATCTGCGGGCACCCCAAAAGGTGAAACCAGTAGCCATCTCGGATGTCCTTGTTTTCGTGGAAAAATTAATGCCAAGGCTCGTCGCTGTTTGGACAGCACGACCACTCTCCTCCCGAGTCACGGACAGAATCGAACCTTCTCCGAAGAGGAGGTAAAACTAGATGTCGCTCTAGGGTCGCCAGCTCTGGGTCTGGGAATGCCTGGAGATTTTGGGGGTGGAGCCTGAAGAGGGCGGGGCTTGGGGAGGGGAGGGGCTTCAGTGGGGTCTAGTGACATACAGCCCACCTTCAAAAGCAGCCATTTTCTCCAGGGGAACTGATTCCCTGCGGCCGGGAGATCGGTGTTCCCTCTAAGCTGTGGAGTCTGGTGAGCAAAGATTTTACTTTGTGAGCTGCTGGCATTAAAGTCGTGAGCGAGCGATTTGGCTCCTGCATAAATTAGTTTGCTCTGGAGCCCTCCTTCCTGAGCTAAGAAAAAAAACGTGTGAGCCGGAGGGTAAAAAACTGTGAGCTGGCTCACACTAACTCAGCTTAGAGGGAACACTGGTGGTACTCCCAGGAAATCTCCAGCCTCTGCCTCTGGAACTTGAGAAACATGTTCTCCTAGGCAGGTTACTATGTTTGCCGCAAGGGTTCCGATGGGACCCTAGAAAACTGCAGCCATTTTAAGAGTTCTATACTCACAAAGGGAATTCATTGCGCCTTATGTCTTGTATGTACATCACTGTCCTTGGGAAAGGATTCTATTCGATAAGGGTGAATGACTAGAGTCCCCTGGGACGAGTGCTTGTGAAACTGACAAGAAGCGGTTTGCGTGTTTGAACGGAGTGTAAACCTGCTCTTCCATATACTGTTTGGGTGAACCGATGTTTGTTAATCCTTGACACAATATTTGTATAATAGTATAGAAAAAAATTTAAAAAAGAAAAATAAAGAGCGCAAAACAGATCTACCTTAAGCATACACAGGGGTCATTGCATAGAAAAAGAGGTGCAGGAGCTCATTAGCATAACTTATTTGCATATGCCACACCCCCTGACGTCACCGGAAGTGTGTCAGAAGGCAACACCCACCGCTCAGGCTCCGCTGGACTGTTTTGGATTGCTAGCTATTGGGGGGGGGGGGGG